TCCAGGCCCCCAGCCCTCCTCCTCAGACCCAGGAGTCCAGGCCCCCCAGCCCTCTCCTCCAGGACCTCAGAGTCTGCGCCCCCACTCCTCCATCCTGGGACCCAGGAGTCTGAATCCCAAGTCCCTTCTCTATGAGGGGGCTCCAGGGTCTGGGGAGCCAGCCCCTGCCATTTGAATACCCTGAGTCCTGCTCGTTGCCACTCTCCACCTCGCTCTTGCCCAGGTCTCTCTGCTGGACTCTCACCTGTCTGTCCTTTGCCCAGCGTCTTCTCCAGCTGATAGGGGCCTACATATTGGGCGTGCTGCGGTGGTGGTGTGTGGGGGTGGGAGGTAGGCGTGGAGAGGCCTCCTGCCTCCCTTGGCCCCACGACATGGTGCCTTGGTCCCGGCTCCGACTGGTCCCCGGCCGCCCTCCGTGCCGGTGGCCGCCTGGCCTTCTGGTGGGGGCGAAGGACTGCTCTGTCCTGGCCCCTCTCAGGCTGCCCCCACTCTCTCCGGGGTCCCCAGGGGCTGGGCTGGCCTCCCCACTGGCGGCCGCGGAGCTGCCAGGGAGGGGGCTGGCCTGGGGTCAGGCCCCGGGAGTCAGCATGGCCTGGGGCTGTGCCTCCAGCTCTGCTTCAGCCGGCCCCCGCTTCTGCGCCTCCGGCCGGGGTCTGAGGGGCCGGCGGATGCTGCAGGCCGAGGTCCCCGCCCCCACGCGCCCTCTCTCCTCCGCCTCCTCCTCTCCGCCTCCCCGCCACCTGTCCTTTCTCTCCGGCACGCTGACATCACCATCCGGGGACTCCGGGCCCTTCCCCAAAGTTAACCCTTTCGGAGTGGGGAGGGGGAGCGCGTGGGGGCAGGGGGCGGGCCTTCAGCTGGAGGGATGGAGAGGAGGTGGGAGGATGCAGGAGAGAGATGGAGGGAAGGATGAGAGAGAGAGAGAGACCCAACAGATGGGCAGAGACAGATACAAAGAAAGATCCTAATGACACAGAGACAGAGACAGCCTAGACAAGAGGATGGAGACCACCAGAGACTGGCTGAGGCAGAGAGGAGGTGGAGGCAGAGATGGGCAGGGTAGAAGAGAAGGGAAGGTATGGCAAGCCGGGAAAACAGACAGGGAGAAGGAGACAGAACTGCTGGAAGCCGACAGAGGGATGTAGAGACCAGAGAGTCTGGAGAGAGCAGAGGAGGAAGGCCAGCCAGAGAGGTGGGGGAGAGGGGGCGCAGGTGGACCTGCAGGGAGGGGCCAGGGGTACACAGGTGGAGGGACATATGCTGGGGAGAATCATGGACATACCTGAGAGACAGAGGCAGAGGTGAAGGAAATAATTTGAGCTGCTGACCCAAACTCATGTCTGTTTCCCAGCCCCCGTGTTTGACTCATCCACGGGGAGGGTAAGTCAGTCCCCACCAGCACAAGGCCGCACATCTACCCACAGCCCGGAGTGATTTAGGACTTACTTCTACAGAGAAGCCCAGAACCCCTGAGGTCCCCTGGGGTATGCTTTAGACCCCTATATATTATCTGTGCTCACAGATAGGTCCTTTATACCTTCATGGGTCTATACTACCTATACATCCCTACCTGTGAGTGGTGTCCATGCAAGCCTGTGCGTTTTCCTACCTTGAGTGAATTCCACCTGCCCCCATTTAGCTTTCCACATAAAACCATAGATCCCTCTATGTCATGTAAATCCAGTGGTGACACCTATTTAATTCTCAAATCCTCTATAAAGCATGACTTGTAGGACTGGGCAAGATGGCTCATGCCTGTAATCTCAATACTTCGGGAGACTGAGGTGGGAAGATCAGCCTGGGCAACACAGCGAGACCCTATCCCTACAATTTTTACTTAGCCGGGTGTGGTGGCATGTGCCTTGCAGTCCCAGCTACGTGGGAGGCGGAGGCTTAGAGCTAGTGAGTTCGAGGCTGCAGTGGAGCTGCTTGCCCATTGCACTCCCCGCCTGAGCAACAGAGTGAAGCCCTGTCTCTAACAAAAATAAAATAAAATAAAGTGCACACAGGAGCCTTTTGGCTCCTGTGATATTTCCAAGTCCCCTATTCAACACCTTAAGTCCACAAATCTTTAATGAAAAGGTCTCAGCCAGGCACTGTTCCTGTTGGTAAGAACATGGCAGTGACCTAAATCAGCAAAAAAGGCCTGTCCTGGGAGCTCATGCTGGTGGATGAAACAGATGATCAACAAGGTCAATAGGCAAAATGTATGGTGTGTTAGATAATCATGTCCGTGCTGAGGAGGTGACCACAGCAGGGAAGGGGTTTAAGAGGCTCGTTGAGCAGGGTGCAATTTTAGGCACCCAGCTTTTTTTTTTTTTTTTTTTTGTATTTTTAGTAGAGATGGGGTTTCATCCTGTTGGCCAGGCTGGTTCTGTAACTCTTTTTTTTTTTTTTTGAGACGGAATCTCGGCTCGTCACCTAGGCTGGAGGCAATGGCATAATCTCAGCTCACTACGACTCTACATCCCAGGTTCAAGAGTTCTCCTGCCTCAGCCTCCCGAGTAGCTGAGATTACAGGCACCTGCCACCGTGCCAGGCTAATTTTTGTATTTTTAGTAGAGATGGGATTTCACTAAGTGTTATATTGCTATCTCGAACTCCTGACCTAGTGATCTGCCCACCCTACTCCCAAAGTGTTGGGATTACAGGTGTGAGCTACCACACCTGGCCTGGCTCTGTAACTATTAACAGGAGGGATCTGCCTCGTGGTTCTGGAGGCATTAATGGGTCCCTTTTTGCTCTCAAGTGTCTTGCTGTAGATGAAAAATTATATGATCACCCTCTTTTTATTTTGTTTTGTTTTGTTTTTTTGAGACAGGGTCTTCCCCCTGTTGTCCAGGCTGGGGGCAGGGGCAATCATAGGTCCCTGCAGCCTCGTCCTCCTGGGCTCAAGTGATCCTCCTGCCTCAGCCTCCTGCATAGCTGTGACTATAGGCAGATGCCATCACACATGGCTATTGTATTTTTGTAGGGATGCGGTCACACTATGTTGCCCAGGCTGGTCTCGAACTCTTGGGTTCAAGTGATCCTCCCACCTTGGCCTCCCAAAGTATTGAGATTATAGACCTGGTTTCACTGCCTCTGCCATGTATTATAAACTGATAGGATGTGTACATAGATGTCCTCGATCTTAATTCCCAGGATCTGTGCATAGGTTACCTTGCATGGCTAAAGGACTTTATGGTCATGTGACTGAGATAGGGAGATTATCCTGCTATTTGGGTGGGAGTTCTCGATGGAATCACAAGAGTATTTGTGAGAAGGAGGCAGGAGGAGCAGTCAGTGATGGAGATGGGAAGATGGAAGCAGAGCTAGTGATGGGGCCACCTGTCAAAGAACGCAGTGGGCCTCTGAAGCTGGAAAGAAAAACATTCTCCCGAGAGCCTGAAGCATGCAATCCTGCTGACAGTTTGATTTCAGTTCTGTGAAACCCATTTTGGATTTCTGCCCTCCATAACTGCAAGATAATAAATGTGTGCTGTTTTAAGCCACCACATTTTTAGTAATTTGTTAACAGCAGCAATAGGAAACTAATATAATAGCACATCCACAGGCCCAGACACATCTCACAACACAGCGCTGGAAACACCACACACACACACACACACACACACACACACACACACACACACACACAGCCTATCTGTTGGGTCTTCCTGTTTCTGCTCAAATATCCCCCTGCACAACCATCGCCAGCAGGTGCTCGATACGTTTGTGACTGTGTGCCCGTTTTGCGTTGAGCACAACCTTTTCCTGGGAGAAAACGCCTCCTATCCAGCACCAACATGAGAGTTTCTTTAAGCCCAGTACAGGGCCAACACCTCTGCAGATTGCCCACATCAGCACGTGCCCAGGCCTAAACTCCACTTCTCTGGAGCACGGAGGCTCTCGGCCTCCCCACCAAGCTGGCTCCTCTGGCACTCTGAATCTTGCTGGGCTCTGGGGCACTTTGCTTTCCAGCTCCAGGTCTCAAGAATCCTCTCCTCTCCACCTGGCAGGGCATGGGGAAGAGTCCATGAGCGAGAGGCTGGGTGATGAGACGGGTCCATTTGTGCCCATTTGACAGATGGAGAAACTTGAGACCGAGAGAGGGTTGCCGGGGCCTAAGGCTCACAGGCCAGCCATTGCAGCGTGACCCAGGCCTGCAGAGGGTGGTGGCTCTGTGGAGGCCAAAGTCAGATTAAAGGAGGCCCCACCCTAAGGATGACTGGACAACAATGAGTGGGAGGGGCCTGGAAAGGGGCGGGGGCCTAACTGGGAGGAGGCTGAAACGCCTAGAGCGGGGGCGGGAATATAGTAGGAGCGGGAATAGTAGTATGGGCGGGGTCAAACCTGGGGGCGGCACGTTGAACAGTGGAGCTTGCAACAAGATCAAAGCACCCGCTGAGGCGAAAAACTGGGCCAGGGGCGGGCTTTGACCAGCGACTTGAACGTGAAGGCGGGGCCGCACGAAGGTGCGTCTCAGCTTGGAGGCGGGGCTCGATGGGAGGGGCGGGGCCGAGGGCAGTATCCGGCCAGGTGAGAAGAGAATAATAGTCAGGCAAGCAGCTTCAGCGGCATCCACGGCACGAAGTTGGGTGCGTACGCCGGGTACTTCCGGGTGAAACTGTGCGTATTTCCGGTTAAGATGGCGGCGCCCAGTAGAGTCAGGTGCGGACGACTTTGTCCGTAGGAGCAGCGGCGGCTTGAGGACCTGGGAGGTGAGATCCGCCCTATTCCGGCGCCCCTCTTCGGAGAGGAGGGAGAAGACTTGTTGCTAAGGAGACCAAAGGGCGGGCTTGTTGCTACGGAGGCGGGGCAGTGAGGTTGGGCAAGAGACGGACGCACGCATTGGAGATGGGGAAGGGGGTTGTTGCCTAGGAGAGTGGGTGGGGCGGTTGCTAGGAAAGGAGGGGCTTATGACTTTGGGGAAGGGTCCTGTGGGTATGAAGGAAGGAAAAGGGGCTGTAAGGAGTGGGCTGGGCAGAGTCGTTTGGGGTCATGGGGGCGCTGAGCTCCCCTAAAACGCCACCTTCTCAGCAGACCCTCAAGAATCGACCCATCAGGACGCCAGAGCTGCTTCAGCAGTGACCACCTTCTCCCCCTAACACGTTCTTCCTTCTTCACAAACGGCCCATGTCAGACGAAGGCCTGCAAGAGGCAGCCGCCTGCCCCTGGCGCTGCCCCCGGCCTCCCAGGGTTGCTCTTCAGGGGGCGGCGGCGGCGGCGGCGGCGGTGGCCCTCGGCTGGGGGCTCGGGCACCTCCCGGCCCCCACGCAACCTCCAAGGCTTGCTGCAGATGGCCATCACCGCGGGCCTCCTGAAGAGCCAGACCCTCCTCCAGAACCCATGAGTGAGGAGGTAAAAGATGGGGACCCAAGAAGCTGGGGTAAGGGCCGGGGACAGATAGAGGTGCCTTGGGAAGTGTGACTTGGGAGCCACAAGAAGACTAGGGTCTTCTTGGGTGTGGTGGCAAGGAGTTCCAGGTGTGGAGGTAAATGAGTTGGCTCTGTGTTAGATGTCACGCTGGACTGGCTGTATCCGCAAGAGAGCTCATGGGGACATATCCTTTCCAGAGCCAGACCGACCTGGATTCAGCATTGTCTAGCTGTGTGACCTGATATACATTTCATCTTTCTGAGTCTCAAGTTCTTTGTTTACAGATTGATAATAATAATAACTACGGTATAGGTAGTTCTGAGGTTCTACTTTAAGTAGGCTGCACACAGTGTCCAGCATACAGACAGTGTTTCTGAAGACAGTGCAGGACAGCCATGAAGAGCACAGGCTCGTTGTCAGACTGCTTGTTTTTTTTTGGTGGGGGGTAGGGGTGGGGGACACAACTGGGTTGGAGTGCAGAGGCGCAATCTTGGCTCACTGCAACCTCTGCCTTGCCGGTTCAAACAACTGTCGTGCCCCAGCCTCCCTAGTAGCTGGGATTAGAGGCATGGGCCACCATGCCTGGCTAATTTTCGTATTTTTAGTAGAGAAGGGGTTTCACTATATTGGCCAGGCTGGTCTCGAACTCCTGGCCTCAAGTGATCCATCTGCCTCAGCCTCCCAAAGTGGTGAGATTGCCAGATGTGAGCCGCCATGCCCAGCCTAGACTGCTTGGGCTTGATTTCGGCTTTGTCAGTTGCTGACTGCGTGATCTTGGGTAAGTCTCAACCTTTCTGTGACTCAACTTTCTCGTCTGCGAAGTGGGGATAACAATGATACATACCTCATAGAGTTGTTTTGCAGATTAATAGGAATAGTTATTATATATAATGTTTAATTGGCGATTACTGTATACAGAGCATTATGCTAACTCCACTTACATACATGACGCCATTGAACCTTACGACAGTGAGGCATGAAACAGGCACAGAAACACTAAATAGCTCACTCAAATTTACATTTCTAGAACTGTGACTAAGGAGACCTCCACTCCCCTCCCTCACCCCCCAAAATTCCAGCAGTCACTTATTAGCTCTCATCTCCTTTTTCTTTGAGATAGAGTCCCACCTCTATTGCCCTGGCCAGAGTGCAGTGGCATGATCTCGGCTCACTGCAGCCTCTGTCTCTCAGGTTCAGGCAATTCCCTTTGCCTCAGCCTCCCGAGTAGGTGGGATTACAGGCACACACCACCATGCCTGGCTAATTTTTGTATTTTTAGTAGAGACGGGGTTTCACCATGTTGGCTGGGGTCTGGTCTCGAACTCCTGACTTTCAGGTGATCGGCCCACCTCAGCCTCCCAAAGTGCTCGATTACAGCGTGAGCCACGCGCCCGCCTCATGGATGTAAGGGGCTAACATTCCTGACAAGTCTCAAATTTATATCTCTAGGCCAGTGATCCTTCACTGGGGGTGATTTTTATTCCCCAGGGGACAATTGGTGTGGAAACATTCTTGGTTGCCACAACTGGAGGAAGGGGAATACTGACATCCAGTATGTGAAGGCCAGGATGCTGCTTCAGCATCCTGTGGTGCACAGGACGGTCACACCACAGAGAACTATCCAGCTCAAAGTGTCAGTAGAGCTGAAGTTGGGAAATCCTGGTCCAGGCTGCAGCTCTTGCCTGGGCTTCTGTGCAGCTTCTCAGTCTTTACCCTGGGTGTGTAATAGATCCTCAAATTTGCACATTTGGAAATGAGCTGAGCCGGGCGCGGTGGCCTGCCCCAATCCCAGCACTTTGGGAGGCCAGGACGGCGATCGAGGTCAAGAGATCGAGACCATCCTGGCTAACACGGTGAAACCCCGTCTCTACTAAAAATACAAAAACCTAGCCGGGCGAGGTGGCGGGCGCCTGTAGTCCCAGCTGCTCGGGAGGCTGAGGCAGGAGAATGGAGATAGCAACCTGGGAGTGAGCTGGCAGCTGAGATCCGGCCACTGCACTCTAGCCTGGGCAACAGAGCGAGACTCCGTCTCAAAAAAAAAAAAAAAAAAAAAAGAAAAAAGAAAATGACCTGAAATCCCTGCTCTTCCCACCCCAAACCTGCTTTTCTGCCCTTTCCCCATCTTTTCCTGTTTGCTCAGAACAGAGACCTCGGAGTCATCCTTGACCTCTCTTTCTGTCACACCTCGTATCTCACTAAATCAAACGGGCTCTCTTTTCAAAATAAGTCCAGGGTCTGACTGCTTCTCCCCACTCCTCTCTCCTTCCTGCTCCACACCACCTTCTCTCCTGCCTGCTCCCAGCGATAGCCTCCCGTTTCATATTCCTGCACCTGCCCTGCCCCCTTCTCCCTCTCCCGTCTGTTCTCAAATAGCAATACAGGTGTCCCTGCTCCTCTGCTTAGAGCCCTCCAGCAGCTCCCACACCTATTCAGAGGGAAATCCCAGGCTTTTACAAGTTTGCAGACCTGGATATCACCAGCCTCCTCCCCGCTCCTTTCTCCTGTTTCACTCTTATTTCCACCACACTGGCCCTCCTGGTGGTTCCCTGCCTCTGGAACCACTCTAGATGTGGCTCTTAGCCTAAATCCTCACCTACTGCTTTTTTCTAAGTCACCTCCCTGGGACCCTCAATGACCAACCCATTTCTTTTTCTTTTCTTTCTTTTTTTTTTTTTTTTTTTTTTCTTTTAGAGACAAGGTCTCACTCACTGCAGCCTTAAATTCCTAGGCTCCAGCCATCCTCTCCACTCAGCTTTCTGAGGTGGACCAGGCATACACCACCATGCCCAGCTAATTTAAAACTTTTTTTGTGGAGATAGGTATCGCCATGTTACCCAGGCTGCTCTTAAATTCCTGGGCTTAAGTGATCCTCCTGCCTCAGCCTCCCAAAGTGCTGGGATTACAGGTGTGAGTCATCGCACCCGGCCCCGACCTGTTTAATTCTGCAGCCACGGTTCGGCACTCCAGATCCCCCACTGTGCTTAATCTTACTTACCCCAGGACGCTTATAATCTCGCCATGTCAAATGCTACAAGTTTTGCTTATTTCCTTTTTTTTTTTTTTTTTTTTTTTTTTTTGAGAGGGAGTTTCGCGCTGTCGCCCAGGCTGGAGTGCAGTGGCTGGATCGCAGCTCACTGCAAGCTCCGCCTCCTGGGTTTGTGCCATTCTCCTGCCTCAGCCTCCCTATAGCTGGGACTACAGGCGCCCGCCACCTCACCCGGCTATTTTTTTTGTATTTTTTGGTAGAGGTTTCACTGTATTAGCCAGGATGGTCTCGATCTCCTGACCCCGTGATCCGCCTGCCTCGCCTCCCAAAGTGCTGGGATTACAGGCTTGAGCCACCGCGCCCGGCTATTTTCTTTATTGACTGTTCTTCAACCTGAATGTGGGAGCCCCCACTCCCAGGGCGTGGGGTTTTGCCTCATCAGCGCTTTGGTACCTAGAAAAGTGTCTGTGAATAAAATAGACACCAGTTGATTCTGTCGCCCAGGCTAGAGTACAATGTTGCGATCTCGGTTCACTCCCAACCTCTGCCTCCCAGGTTCAAGTGATTCCCTCGTGTCAGCCTCCGGAGTAGCTGTGACTACAGGCTCGGACCATCATGCCCGGCTAAGTTTTTGTAGTTTAGTAGAGATGGGGTTTCACCATGTTTGTTGCCCAGGCTGATCTCAAACTCCTGAGCTCAGGCAGTCTGCCCACCTTGACCTCCCAAAGTGGTGGATCAGGCGTGAGCCACAGCGTCCGGTCAATATTTGTTGACTGAATGAACATCAGCCCTCAGTTGGCTGTCTTTACATGGCTGCCCTTTAATTAATGACTGATAGATTCTTTCCTCCTCGCCTTGGTCCCCAGAGGCGTCAGTGGTTGCAGGAGGCCATGCCGCTGCCTTCCGAGGCCAGCGGGAGGAGGTGGAGCAGATGAAGAGCTGCCTCCGAGTGCTGTCACAGCCCATGCCCCCCACTGCTGGGGAGGCTGAGCAGGCAGCCGACCAGCAAGAGCGAGAGGGGGTTCTGGAGCTGCTGGCCGACCTGTGTGAGAACATGGACAATGCCGCAGGTACCCCACTTCCCCGCTGGGACGTCCTGCCCCTCCGTACACGTCCTGCTGCCTCTCAGCTCTTGCCAGTACTCTTGGGGATCACACCATCAGCCTCCCTGCTGCCCTCTCACCATCAGCTTCCATTGCCATAAGGAGCAAGGCTCTTCCTCACCCCTCATGGTGGATCCCACTTCCCTGATCAGTTCTGAGATGGCTGTTTCTCTCCTAGTCCTCTGGGTGTCCACTGCCACTCCCCAGAGTACAAGAGAGAAAGTGGCATGGGTGGGGTGGCAGAGAAGGCCTCTCCGGGGCGACATGCTTGATCAGAGACCTGAAGTGAGGTGCGAGTTGTGGGATGATCTCTGGGAAAAGCATTCCAGACCGCGGGAACAGCCAGTGCAAAGGCCCTGAGGCCAGAGCGTGCCTGGTGTGTTCAGAAACAGCAACCAGGCCCTTGAGGCAGAGCAGAGTGAGTGAGGGCCAGGCATAGGAAACAGTGTGGGGTGTGGGCCTTGCAGACCGAAATGCTGCTTAATGTGGCAGCAGAGCTGACAGAAGGTTTGAGGAGAGCCCTTCCATTTGGAGGGGGTTGTGTGGGTGTAGCCATTGAGGGTGTGGATTTGGGGTGTCACTTCCTTGGTTCATAGTTCAGGCTGTGCTGCTACATGGCAGTCTGGTTTGGGCAGGTTCTGGTGACTTCTCTGTATATGAGGCTGGTGAGGATGGGTTGAGAGAGCCTCAGGCCCGCACAACCCCAGGCACAGAGTACACGTAACATGTCAGGCATGGGAGCCAAGTGTCTTCATTTTGGACAGGGGCTGGACGGCGCTTTGTGAAGCCTCCTCTGTGAGTGCATTTAGTGCCCTGAGAAGACCCAAGAGTGCAGCCGCCACCCCCAGCTTACCTCTCCCCAGTGTTTCCCAGTCTTAACCCAGCAGAGAACTCCTGCTCCCAGTCCGCAGGACGACTTTTAAACCCACTTTTCTCTTCATTCATTTTTTGCTTGTTCAGAGATATCTGTTGAGCAGTTGCTGTGTGTTAAGCACTGTGCTGGAGTGTCCAATCATTGGCAGCAGCAATTTTACACCTTATTAGTAATCAAATGAGAACGAAAGCCAAAGATACCACTTCTCCTGGCCTAGGCGCTGTTCTGTGTATAAATATAAATATATGTGCATCTTTCTGTTTTAATGAGGATGCGCAGGGCTGATGAAGGTGGGCTGAGGGGAACATCCTCCCACATGGCCGTTTCTACCACTTACTGTCAATTCACAGTGTTGTGCAACACCACCTCTATTTCCGGAATTTTCCATTGCCCACAAAGGAGACCCAGCACCCATTAGGCAGGCCCTCCCCCGGCCCCCTGGCAACAACTAATCGGTGTTTTGGGTCTATGAATTTGCCCATTCTGGACATTTCATATAGACGCCTATACATGTGACCTTTGTGTCTGGCTGATTGTGCTAAAGGCGTGCCCATGTTGTGGTGCGTGTCAGAGCTTTATTCCTTTTTTTTTGAGTCAGTCTCCCAGGCTGGAGTGCAGTGGTGCAATCTCAGCTCACTGCAACTTCCACCTGCTGGGTTTAAGTGATTCTCATACCTCAGCCTCCCAAACAGCTGGGATTACAGGTACGCGCTCATCAGGCCTGGCTAATTTTTTTTTTTTTTTTTCTCCTGAGACGGAGTCTTACCCTGTCGCCCAGGCTGGAGTGCAATGGCGCGATCTCAGCTCACTGCAACCTCTGCTTCCCTGGGTTCAACACCCTCCTGCCTCGCCCTTCCGAGTAGCTGGGATTATAGGCGCCCGCCACCATGCCCAGCTAATTTTTGGTATTTTTAGTAGGAGATGGAGTTTCACCATGGGCAGATGGTCTCGAACTCCTGACCTTGTGATGCACCCGCCTCGGCCTCCCAAAGTGCTGGGATTATAGCTTAGCCACTGTGGTGCCTGGCCAGGCTTGGCATTTTTGTATTTTTAGTAGCAACGTGGTGCTATGTTACCCAGGCTGGTCTTGAACTTGGCTTCTATGGATTCTGCCCACTCTGGCTTCCCAAAAGTGTTGATGAGGTAGGCTTGAGCCACCATGCCCGGCTGCTTCATTCTTTTTATGGCTGAGTAATACCTACTGTATGGCTAGAGCAGTTTTTATTTATCTCTTTATCCTTTAAGGACATTTGGGTCATTTCTAGAATGATGCTGCCATGAACCTGAGTGTGTAAGTATCTGAGTCCCTACTTTCGGTTCTTTTGAGTCTGTACCTTGGTGTGGAATTGCTGGGTCATGGGGAATCTGTGTTTCACTTTTTGAGGAACGGCCACGCTCTCCAATACCACTTTATTTATAAAAACCAGAGGTGGGTTGTGGTTTGCTGACCCTGGGGACATTCAGATTGTCACAAAACCAGGATCAGGCCGGGCGCGGTGGCTCAAGCCTGTAATCCCAGCACTTTGGGAGGCCGAGACGGCGGATCACGAGGTCAGGAGATCGAGACCATCCTGGCGAACACGGTGAAACCCCATCTCTACTAAAAATACAAAAAAAAATTAGCCGGGCAGACAGTCTAGTCCTAGCCACTTCCGGGAGGCTGAGGCAGGAGAATGGCGTAACCCGGGAGGCGGAGCTGTGCAGGAGCGAGATCCGGCCACTGCACTCCAGCCTGGGAGATAGAGCGAGACTCCGTCTCAAAAAAAAAAAATAAAAAAACTAGGACTGGGTCTGCATTAGTAGTCTGGAGCCTGAGCCCATGCCCCCAAGTGCCGATGGAACCGAGTTGTACTGGGCTTGAGGACTCTGGTTGGGTGTTTGGAGAACCAGGTCCCTGTGGTTTCAGCCATTCTTCCAGCCCCAGCAGCTGTGGTGGTCGGCTTAGGGCCACCTTAGCCAAGCACCACAGACTACTGGCTTTAAAAACAGAAATGTATTTTCTCACAGCTTTGGAGGCTAGAAGTCTGGAGATCAGGTGTGGGCAGGGCTGGTTTCTCCTGAGCCCCTTGTTCCTTGGCTTGCAGAAGTATTTTTGTGTCCTCCTCCATGTTGTCCCACTGTGGGTGTCTGTATATCTCCTCTTATCAGACAGCAAACAGATTGTGTGTAGGCCCACCCTGAGGGCTTCATTTTACCTGAATTATCTCTTTGAAGATCCCATTCTGCAAGAACAGTCACATTCCAGTCCTGGGGCTGGAGCATCAACCCATGCATTTTGGGGGGCACAGTTCAGTCCCTAACATCTGGCCTCTCTCTGTCTCTCTGTGGTACATAGGATTTCTGCTAGTTATTTGGGCATGTAATTTGCTAGTGGGGCTGCACTAGAGGCGGGGCCGTGGGCTGCGGTGGCGGGCGGCACAGCTCATCGGCACGGTGCTTGAACGCAGCAGCCATCCAGGAGCAGGTGCTGGGCCTGGGCGCCTGCGTAGGTTGCTGCGGCTGCTGGACCGCGACGCCTGCACACAGTGCGCACAAGGCCCTCTTCGCCATCTCCTGTGAGTGTCCGGGGTGGGGCTGGGGGCGGGGGGTGCTGGGGGTGTCGGGTGGGCTCCTCGGGATCTGGGTTGGGCAGAGGAGAGGGTAGCGCCTTCACTCGCTTATTCCTCATGCTCGTTGGGCCTCTGGCAGCTGAGTGCTGCAGGCAGAGTGAGTGGTGCACTGGCCAGACCCCTGCCAGCCTCTTCGCAGCAGACATGATCACCTGAGGAGACTACCCGGCCCTCAGCGTGAACGCTTTGCGCGCAGCAGTTTTTCAGCTGGGCACTGTTCACACTGGGGCTGGTTCACTCCTCTCAGGGGCCATCCTCTGTACTAGTGACATTTGGAGCAGTGTCTCGGGCGCCTCCATGCCATGGAGAGACATTGTCACCCCACCTACCACACAGCGCAGATGCCCCCAGATGTCACAGAAAGTCTCATGGTCAGAACTCCTGCTGCATGGCACCTTCTCTCTTCTTTTTTTTAATTTAACCTATATAGAGACAGGACTGACTTTGTTACCCAGGCTAGTCTTGAACTCCTAGCCTCAAGGGATCCTCCCGCCTTGCCTCTGAAAGTGTTGAGATTACCGTGTGATCCACCATGTCCAGCCAAATCTTTATCCTAATGGCCTGTGAAGTGGGACCGCTTGCATCCTCACTTGACAGGGGAAGTAACTGAGGTGTGGGCAGAGGGACGTGACCAGGTTTGTGCAGCTCCACAGGGCAGAGCTGGCCAGGACTCTCATGCACTGCCTCCTGGGACACAGGGGCCAGGTCAGGGCCAGGGATGGGACAGAAACCAACATCTGTGGGGCAGTTTCTCCATGCCAGGTATTGCCTGGCTGAATCCTTATGCACACCTGCTGAAGTTGGGCTCACTGTCTCCTCCACACGGAGGGATCAGGCCGGGAGTTCGCTGAGAGTGACACAGAACCAGGGTCCCAGCCCGGGAGCTTTTTCAGGTGCTGACGCCTGCTTGCGTGTGCTGCACTAGTGCTCCCACTGACTGCTTCTTTATTTTCCCTGACAGCCATTGAGATGTAAAATTCCACAAGGCCACAAAATTCATTCTTTTAAAGTGTGGTAACTTATACTTTGGCCAGGTATGGCTCATGACCTGGGATCCTCACACTTTTGGAGCCCAGGCGAGAATTGCTCAAGCCTGTGCTTGAGACTAGCCAAAACACAGGGAAACCTCTGTCTCTACAAAAATTAAAAAATTAGCTGGATGTGGTGGTGCGGTGACTGTAACTCCATACCCAAGAGACTGAAGTTGTAGATCTGAGCCTCTGAGAGTTGAGGTTGCAGTGAGCCATGATTAGCAGCCTCCTCCAGCCTGCGTGACAGAACAAGACCTGTCTGAAAACAAACAATAAAACCAAAAAACAACGTAGTACTTAGTATATTCACAGCATTGTGCAGCCATCATCACTCCCTAATTTTAGATGAGATCAGGTGCGTTCAGGCGGTATGGCTATCGGCAGTCACTAAATTCAGAACATTTTTTTCTTCTTTCCTTTTTTCTTGAGAC